ATCATCCTAATTGTAGAAATGGTGGTAGTAATAATCGGCATTCTTACCAAATAGTCTGGTAAATTATATGCAGGTTTCCCTTTGAAATGAGAAGAGTTAGTTAGTATTCTGCAATAATATTTTTCTAGGTGAAAAGTTTCCCTGGTCAAGAAGAAAAGCCTTTCAGTGATAACTAAGTTTGATATGGTTTAGTATGTGGTGAAGATGGATGGTAATTTATCTGATCGTGATGGGGATAATAAATAGCTTTGAGTTATATACTATAGTGATCTTGTGCTGGTCATAGGCTGTGGAGCAATCCTGACATAGTTAGAACATCTAAGCTGGTGAGGGTAAATACGGGAGGACAGTGATGAGTGAGAACTCTTCACTTTGACTGCCCTATTTGGCCTTAGCCTTATTTACTCGTTATGTATTTATCACCTACAACAAACCATCAGCTAAAACCACTATTGGAAACACGTATCCTTCCTAAGAGGTGAGCAGATGAGGTTCCCACAGTTTTGTCCATAGGAAAAGTGGGAAAAACCAAACATAATACAAGTGAATAGGAACACCAGCAAATACAACCAATCCCTATCGACAATTTCAGATGTTCCCAAGGGTGAAAATACTTATCATCCAGGTCAATCTCGTGCTACCCGACACTGTACGTTTACTTCGCAAAATTAACAAGAATGAGGAAAGCTTCGATACGCTTTGCTGGAATCCATGCACCAAATGTGACTGTTATTCTATTATACACTTGGGAGAGAGTGAGTCACATTAACAGCTCTGCATTTGATTCTAATTCATTACATTATGGCATTTTAACAATAAACACTAATAATGGTTAAATTTCAGAATATTTCAAAGAGTATTTAGGAGTGAGCATGAGATGAGAGAACGAACGTAATCTACTCTTCCCCCCACTGGTCTCAGGTTTTCCAAACTGCTTCTCCAGCAGTATGTATCTCACCGTGCTGTGAGACGAGGAGGGTTAAAGAAGATGTACGTGGCAACATAAACTTGTTCCGTACCAATACAAACCAGTTTACTTCTCGTGGGTTGGTCAACTAAGAAACAGCCTCTTTCCCAAAGCTGGCAGAAGGCAGTTGACTTACAAAATTAAGCTTCATAGGTCTGATATGGCGGATTTTGTTACAGCCCTCTCATCTTTCTTTTCTCTGTCCTGATGGCCCTAGCAATTCTCGTTATTAATAATTTGTATTCTGTTTTCTTAAAGGAGCAGTTCTCAGAATATTTACAAAACCTGTGAGCCCGCTTTCGTAGGCTAGTACGTTTAGAGTTCTTTCCTCTCTTAAGGAGAAACTTTTAAGGGATTTTCAAGAGTGCATTTGACTAAGGGACGTCCACTTGCAATGCTGAACTTGAGACTGACCTGTCTTTAAGAGGTCAACTGTACTAGAATATTACAAATATATAATGCATCAAATATCGATAAGCTCTAAATGCATGCTTAACGTTTGGCGTTTGGTAACTACTTTATGAACACATTTCTAAGCCAACTCAATTCACCCTCTGCACGAGTCAACTATTGTTAACCCAGCTCCAGCTTTTCCGAAACTTCCACCTCCCAGCACCAAGCACGGTCTAGCGTGCAGTTGGCCGCTCATGGCAAAGTCACCGCAGCACCCGAGTGGACCGCCAGGCTGGCCCGGCCCGGCCGGCCCGGCCCCGCCCCGCCCGCCCGCCGTCCCGCCCCGCCCCGCCCGTCCCCGCCCGCCCCGCCCCGTCCCGTCCCGCGCCGAGGCCCAGGCCCCGCCCCTCCGTGCTGACCGCCCGTCGCGCTCTTGCCCCGGCGAGAAACGCGTCGGGCATGACATCATCATACGCGACAACACCAACGGCCCAACCCTGCTCCTGCCGCAGGCGGTGGGCGAGGGCGCGCGCGAAAGTCGATTTTCCTGCCGCGGGGAGGCCGCAGAGGACGCAGAGGACTCGTTTCCGCGGCCCGTCGCTGCCGGTTCCTCTGGTGTTCTCGGCGGTCTTCATGCTGCCCGGGGAGACCGGAGGAGGCTGGGAGAGTCGTCTCCGGGCCACCGTCTGCCCAGCGCGCACGCGCAGCGTCTCCGCCGCCTGCCGGCGCAGTGGAGGAACTGGCGTGGCTGGGTTTCCGTGTGGCCCCAGAAGCACCTGCTCCACTGGTTCCCTTCTGCTCCCGAGGACCAGAGGCTGGAGAGACCGCGGCGCTGCGTTCCTAGCTCCTGGACATTCCCAAGGGGTCCCAGAGTTAGGATTAATCTTCAGATAGAATCACCTTCCCTGCCGAAAGTTGCCAGCCAGCAGGATTGGCGCCTCAGTTTTATTAGGATGAGGTCTTTCTGCTCAGGAAAATCCCAAAAGAGACGTTGAGCCTTTCTCTCCAGCAATCTTTAGAAAATAAGTTGCTGGAAATCAAAGAATAGGAGGCGAGGCTGACAGTCCTACCACCTCACTCCTTTGCGGTTCCCAGATGTGAACAGTGCAAGGGCAAAGTAAACATTAGTTATTGTGCCCTCACGCCACCAGTGGGCAGCAGAAGTGAAGAAATATGGTCAGGAAAGGCATCCATAGACCTCAATTCCAGTGCATGCAGGCAGAGAACAATAGGTGTTTGTGTTAAAAAGTAATACTAAGCTATGGAGAAGTATAAAACAAGTTTTTTTGTTTGGGGGTGTGTTGTAGAAAAACTGAATTCAGATAATAGTTTTTTGTTTTTTGAGACAGGGTCTCACTCTCTCGCCCAGACTGGAGTGCAGTGGCCCCAACTCAGCTCACCGCAACCTCCGCCTGTCAGGCTCGAGGGATTCTCCTGCCTCAGCCTCCTGAGTAGCTGGGATTACAGGCGCACGCCACTACAGCCCAACTGATTTTTGTATTTTCAGTAAGAACAGGGTTTCATCATGTTGGCCAGGCTGGTCTCGAACTCCTGACCTCAAATGATCCACCCGCCTCGGCTTCCCAAAGTTCTGGTATTACAGGCGTGAGCCACCACGCCCGGCCCAGATTCTAGTTTTAACCTTATATTTTAGGGGATAATTCCTTCTTACCTGTAAAGGGTATGTTCAAAATGTGAAGACGTGAGGACAGAATCAGTGTATACTGGGTCAAAATATGCTAAAGCTGATATACTTTGTAATTACAAAGCACATACAAATAATCTCATTTTCCTTTTGGATTGAAAGAGCAATGAGTTAAACTCTTCGTTTCATGACATTTTATCATTATTGGTCCAGTATAAGGTCCCTCTCCTTAATTTGCCCCTCCCCTACTTTTTTAAGAGACAGGGTTTTGCTTTGTCACTCAAGCTGCATTGGAACCATAGCTCACTGTAACCTCGAATTTCTAGGCTCAAGCAATCCTCCTACCTCAGCCTCCTGAGTAGCTGGGACTATAGGCATCTGCCACTGAGCCTGGCTCCACTGTCTTTTATGTCCCATCCTCCACATCCACACCCATTTAACCCCTGCAGGCAACCGTGTTTTTTTTTGTTTTTTCTTTTTATCATAGTTATTTTTGTTTTGGTTATGTATTTTTTGTTTTAAATAGGCTTAACTTTTTAGAGCAGTTTTAGGTTCACAGTGAAACTGAGCAGAAAGTATACTCCTTCCCTTCCTCATTCATAACCTCCCCCACTATCAACATCCTTCACCAGAGTGATACATTTGTTACAATCAATAATCAATGAACCTACATTGACACATCATTATCACCTAAAGGCCATAGTTTACTATTGGTATTGGGGTTTACTCTTGGTGTACATTCTGTAGGTTTTGTCTATGTATAATGACACGTATCCATCATTACGGAATAGTTTCACAGCCCTAAACATCCTCTGTGCTCCGCCTGTTCATTCTCCCTCTCCTCTAACCTGACACCATTGATTTTTTGGGTGTGTCGCTGTAGTTTTGCCTTGTCTGGAATAATATACAATTATATAATTGTAATCACACAGTCTTTTCAATTTGCTTCTTTCACTTAGTAATATGCATTTAAGGCTCCTCTTTTTATGGCTTGACAGTGCATTTCTTTTTAGCCATAAATAGTATTCCAATGTCTGGAGGTACCAGAGTTTAGTTTTCCACTCGCCTACTGAAGGAAATCTTGGTTGCTTCCAAGATTTGGCAATTATGAATAAAGCTGCTATAAACATTCATGTGCAGGTTTTTGTGTGGACGTAAGTTTTCAACTCATTTGGGCAAATATCATACCAAGGAGTGTTATTGCTATATCATACAGTAGGAGTGTTTAGTTTTCTAAGAAACTGCCAAACTGTCTTCCAAAGTGGCTGTACCATTTTGCATTCCAATCAGCAATGAATGAGACTTCTTACTGCTCCACATCCTCCCTCGTATTTGGTGTTGTCAGTGTTTTGGATTTTCGTCATTCTAGTAAGTGCGTAGTGGTATTTCACTGTTCTTTAAGTTTGCATTTCCTTACTGACATATGATGTTAAACATCTTTTTTCTTTTTTCTTTTTTTCTTTTTTTGTGAGACAGATCTTGCTCTGTCACCCAGGCTGGAGGCAGATCATGGTTCACTGCAGCCTCAACCTCCCAGGCTCAAGCAATCCTCCTGCTTCAGCCCCCTGAGCAGCTGGGACTACAGGCATGACCATCATGTCTGACTAATTTTTATTTTTGTAGAGATGAGGTCTCCCCATGTTGCCCAGGTTGGTCTCGAACTCCTGGGCTCAAACAAACTTCTGCACCACCATGCCTGGCTAATTTTTATTTTTGTAGAGATGAGGTCTCCCTATGTTGCCCAGGCTGGTCTCAAACTCCTGGGCTCAAACCAACCTCATGCCTTGGCCTTCCAAAGTGCTAGGATTGCAGGCGTGAGCCACCATGCACAGCCGAACATCTTTTCATATGCTTATTTGCCATCTGTACATCTTCTTTGGTGAAGTGCCTGTTCAGATCTCTTTGCCTATTTTATTTACCATTTTTGAGATGGGGTCTCACTCTGTTGCCCATGCTGGTCTCAAACTTTTGGGCTTGAGCAATCCCCCACCTGAGTAACTGGGGTTACAGGCATGCACCATTATGCCTAGCTTCTTTTTGCCCATATTTAAATTGGGTTGTTTTCTTGTTGTTCAGTTTTAAGCGTTCTTTGTATATTTTGGATAACAGTCCTTTACAAAGTCCCTCTGGCAAACATTTTCTCCCAGTCTGTGGTTTATCTTTTCATTCTTGTCACAGTGTCTTTTGGAGAGAAGTTTTTAATTTTAATGAAGCCCAGTTTACCAATTACCTCTTTCATGCATCATACCTTTGGTGTTTTATCAAAAATATCATCACCAAGCCCAGTCTTCTAGATTCTCTGTTATCTTCTAGTCTTATAGTTTTGGTATTTCCGTTTTGTTCTATGATCCATTTTGAGTTAATTCTTGTGAAGGAGGTAAAGTCTGTGTGTAGATTTTTTTTTTTAATGTGGATATCTAGTTTCAGCACCAGTTGTTGAAAAGACTATTTTTTTGTCCATTGCATTGCCTTTGCTCCTTTGTCAAAGATCAGTTGACTGTATTTATGTGGGCTCTCTATTCTGTTCATTGATCTATTTGTCTATTCTTTTGCAATATGACACTATCTTTATTATTATAACTTTATAGTAAGTCTTGCAGTCGGCTACTATCAGTCTTCTAGTTTTGCTCCTTCTCCTTTAATATTGTGTTGGCTAGCCTAAATCTTTTGCCTTGCCACATAAACTTTAGAATCACTTTGTTGATATCCACAAAACAGCTTGCTGGAGTTGAGACTGTGTTGGATCTATAGATGAAGTTGGGAAGGAATGACATCTTGACAATATTATTTCTATTCATGAACATGAAATATCTTTTATTTCTTTCAACAGTTTTGTAGTTTTCGTCATATAGATTTCATGTATATTTAAAACATTTTATAACTAATAAGTTTTAAATTTAAGTATTTCATTTTGGGGGATGTTCATGTAATGGTATTGTGTTTCTAATTTCAAATTTCACTTGTTCATTGCTGGAATTAAGAAAGTGGTTGATTTTTAAGTCTTGACCTTGTATTCTGCAACTTTGCAATAATCATGTATTAGTTCCAGATTTTTTGTTATGGATTCTTTTGGATTTCTACATAGACAATCATGTCATCTGCAGACAAAGTTTTATTTCTTCCTTCCCAACATGTACACCTTTTATTTTGTCTTATTAGCTAGGACTTCCAGTATAATGTGGAAAAAGTGGTGACAGAGGACATTCTTGCCTTGTTACTGATCTTAATGGAAAAGTCTCTAGTTGGTCACCATTAAGTATAATGTAAGCTACAGGTGTTTTGTAGATAGTTATCAGGTTGAGGAAGCACTCCTCTATTCCTAGTTTGCTGAGGGTTTTTATCATGAATGTCTGTGGTATTTTGTCAAATGCTTTTTTTGTATCAATTGATATGATTATGTGATTTAATTATTTAATCTCTTGATATGATGAATTACATTAACTGGTTTTCAAACATTGAACCAGCTTTCTGTAGTCTACTCACTTGTCCCTGCATGCAGTGGGGTCAAGGCTGGGTGTTCTGCATAGTTTAGTATGAGAAAATAGTTATGTGGGAAAAATTATTCTGTATCATGTAAAATGGTCATCCCCATTATAGTTTGGATATTTGTTCTTTCCAGATCTCATGTTGAAATTTGATACCCAATGCTGGAGATGTGGCCTAGTGGGAGGTATTTGAGTCATGGGCATTGTGTTAGGCCATTCTTTCATTGCTACAAAGAAATACCAGAGAATGGGTAATTTATAAAGAAAAGAGGTTTAATTGGCTCATAGTTCTGCAGGCTGTACAGGAAGCATGGCACTGGCATCTGTTCAGTTTCTGGGAGTTTTTACTTATGGCAGACAGCCAAGCAGGAGCAAGCATGTCACATGGTGAAAGCAGGAGTAAGAGAGAGTTGAGAGGGAAGTGAAACATACTTACACAACTAGATCTTGTGAGAACTCACTCATTATGAGGACAGCACCAAGCCATGAGTGATCTGCACCCATGACCCAAACACCCCCCACCAGGCCCCACATCCAACATTGAGGATTACAATTCAACATGAGACTTAGTGGGGACATATATTCAAACTACATCAAGGAGAGATCCTTTAGGAATAGACTAATTCCCTCCCTGGGGAGGGAGAAGTGAGTTCTTGCTCTGTTAGTTCCTATGAGAACTGGTTGTTAAAAGGGCCTGGCATCTCCCCTCTTGCTTCCTCTCTCACGATATGATCTCTGCACATGCAGGCTCTCCACTTTCCATGACAACTAGAAGCAGCCTGAGGCCATCAACAGAAGCAAATGCTGGCTCCATGCTTCTTGCACAATCCACAGAATCATGAGCCAAATAAGCCTCTTTGTAAACTAACCAGCCTCAGGTATTTTCTATAGTAACATTAAATGGGTCAAGACATCTCCATCACCCCTTGTTACCAGAGGGCTTTTTCACAGGCCAGCAACTGTCGCAGCTCCCACTGTTCTCTCTGAGCTCAGTGTATGTTTGGTGGACTGACACTTACAAAAAACCTTTATGTCAGAAGAAACCTGGGCGGCAAATTAAGTGGAAACAACAGAAACTGAGTGACTGTGGAAGAGGCTAGTGACAGCCCACTCCCTACCAAGAGAGCCTGCATGGAACAGAAGAATCAACTGAACCAGGAATTAGAAACTCTATTTATCCGCAGAGGGAAAATGGACC